TAATATTTTGTGAAGGGATTCAGGGAAACCGGTTATTTTTATATAGCCGGACTTGAGTCCTGGAAATGGGAAGTACAATGCCTGCACTCTAAAGGAGGGTTTCGGGATATTGGCAGTTTGGAGGGATATGTTGTATATCTTTATACGTATATGCTTCTAAACTGTTGTGTTCTGAGCACCTCTGCAAAAACAGTGATTATGTGTGAGTGAGGTGAAAGAGTTGAATGATGATAAAGTTTTTTTTGGGGGGGATTTTCTTTCTTTTTGGGTCACCCTGCCTCGGTGTGAGTCGGCCGACTTGTTGAAAAAAAAAAAATCTTTTGTTTTATATAAATTATTCTTTTTTTTCTTTTTTTTTTTTCAACAAGTCGGCCGTCTCCCACCAAGGCAGGGTGACCCAAAAAAGAAAAAAAATCCCCAAAAAGAAAATACTTTCATCATCATTCAACACTTTCACCACACTCACACATTACCACTGCTTTTGCAGAGGTGCACAGAATACAACAGTTTAGAAGCATATACGTATAAAGATACACAACATATCCCTCCAAACTGCCAATATCCCAAACCCCTCCTTTAAAGTGCAGGCATTTTACTTCCCATTTCCAGGACTCAAGTCCGACTATATGAAAATAACCGGTTTCCCTGAATCCCTTCACTAAATATTGCCCTACTCACACTCCAACAGATCGTCAGGTCCCAAGTATCATTCGTCTCCATTCACTCCTATCTAACACGCTCATGTATGCTTGCTGGAAGTCCAAGCCCCTCGCCCACAAAACCTCCTTTACCCCCTCTTTCCAACCCTTTCAAGGACGACCCTTATCCCTCTTTCCTTCCCCTATAGATTTATATGCTTTCCATGTCATTCTACTTTGATCCATTCTCTCTAAATGACCAAACCACCTCAACAACCCCTCTTCTGCCCTCTGACTAATGCTTTTATTAACTCCACACCTTCTCCTAATTTCCACACTCCGAATTTTCTGCATAATATTTACACCACACATTGCCCTTAGACAGGACATCTCCACTGCCTCCAACCGTCTCCTCGCTGCTGCATTTACCACCCAAGCTTCACATCCATATAAGAGTGTTGGTACTACTATACTTTCATACATTCCCTTCTTTGCCTCCATAGATAACGTTTTTTGACTCCACATATACCTCATCGCACCACTCACCTTTTTTCCCTCATCAATTCTATGATTAACCTCATCCTTCATAAATCCATCCGCCGACACGTCAACTCCCAAGTATCTGAAAACATTCACTTCTTCCATACTCCTCCTCCCCAATTTGATATCCAATTTTTCTTTATCTAAATCATTTGATACCCTCATCACCTTACTCTTTTCTATGTTCACTTTCAACTTTCTACCTTTACACACATTCTCAAACTCATCCACTAACCTTTGCAATTTTTCTTTAGAATCTCCCATAAGCACAGTATCATCAGCAAAAAGTAACTGTGTTAATTCCCATTTTGAATTTGATTCCCCATAATTTAATCCCACCCCTCTCCCGAACACCCTAGCATTTACTTCTTTTACAACCCCATCTATAAATATATCAAACAACCATGGTGACATTACACATCCCTGTCTAAGACCTACTTTTACCGGGAAGTATTCTCCCTCTCTTCTACACACCCTAACCTGAGCCTCACTATCCTCATAAAAGCTCTTTACAGCATTTAGTAACTTACCACCTATTCCATACACTTGCAACATCTGCCACATTGCTCCTCTATCCACTCTATCATATGCCTTTTCTAAATCCATTAATGCAATAAAAACTTCCCTACCTTTATCTAAATACTGTTCACATATATGTTTCAATGTAAACACTTGATCTACACATCCCCTACCCACTCTGAAGCCTCCTTGCTCATCCACAATCCTACATTCTGTCTTACCTCTAATTCTTTCAATTATAACCCTACCGTATACAAAATTTTCCTGGTATACTCAGTAAACTTATTCCTCTATAATTTTTACAATCTCTTTTGTCCCCCTTCCCTTTATATAAAGGGACTATACATGCTCTCCACCAATCCCTAGGTACCTTCCCCTCTTTCATACATTTATTAAACAAAAGTACCAACCACTCCAACACTACATCCCCCCCTGCTTTTAACATTTCTGTCATGATCCCATCAGTTCCAGCTGCTTTACCCCCTTTCATTCTACGTAATGCCTCACGTACCTCCACCACACTTATATTCTGCTCTTCTTCACTCCTAAAAGATGGTATACCTCCCTGGCCAGTGCATGAAATTACCGCCTCCCTTTCTTCCTCAACATTTAAAAGTTCCTCAAAATATTCTCGCCATGTACCTAATACCTCCATCTCCCCATCTACTAACTCCCCTACTCTGTTTTTAACTGACAAATCCATACTTTCCCTAGGCTTTCTTAACTTGTTTAACTCACTCCAAAATTTTTTCTTATTTTCATTAAAATTTCTTGACAGTGCCTCTCCCACTCTTTCATCTGCTCTCCTTTTGCACTTTCTCACCACTCTCTTCACCTTTCTTTTACTCTCCATATACTCTGCTCTTCTTATAACACTTCTGCTTTGTAAAAACCTCTCGTAAGCTACCTTTTTCTCTTTTATCACACCCTTTACTTCATCATTCCACCAATCACTCCTCTTTCCTCCTGCCCCCACCCTCCTATAACCACAAACTTCTGCCCCACATTCTAATACTGCATTTTTAAAACTATTCCAACCCTCTTCAACCCCCTACTACTCATCTTTGCACTAGCCCACCTTTCTGCCAATAGTCGTTTATATCTCCCCCGAACTTCCTCCTCCCTTAGTTTATACACCTTCACCTCCCTCTTACTTGTTGTTGCCACCTTCCTCTTTTCCCATCTACCTCTTACTCTAACTGTAGCTACAACTAAATAATGATCCGATATATCAGTTGCCCCTCTATAAACATGTACATCCTGGAGCCTACCCATCAACCTTTTATCCACCAATACATAATCTAACAAACTACTTTCATTACGTGCTACATCATACCTTGTATATTTATTTATCCTCTTTTTCATAAAATATGTATTACTTATTACCAAATTTATTTCTACACATAGCTCAATTAATTAATCAATTAAATAATTAATAATATAATTAATAGATCTACTGTACAACCATGATATAATTCTTTAGTGTTAAGTAGTCAGTAAGCCAGTAATGTTAAGTTGGTCCATAATGCCTGGGCATAATAGAGGCTCTCTTTGCATTGCAACCCATTATTGTAAATGCATAATCTCAATGTACTGTTTGCAAAGACAAATAAATAAATAAATAAATAAATAAATAAATAAATAAATCAATCAATATGGCCTCCCCAGTGACATCTCTCCCAACATGAACCTGTTCACTTTACATTTCCTTTACAGTACTGATTTAAAAAAATACTATCTTCATAAAAATATATAGGGTATTTTTGTTTCTGCTTTTTGGAATACTGTTATACAATAACAGAAGGCTTCTTTTCTTGCAGCACTGTGTCCTCACTCTGTGAGAGTCAGATTATAATTGCCATCTGTTAATAATTCAGGGATCATACCCCCTTTAGCCTAATATCAGACCAGGATTCCAAAAGACCTTGGTAGTAGGCTGGTAGACAGCAACTGGCCAGGGAGGTACTACCGTCCTACCATGTGAGTGTAAAACGTAAAGATTTACCTGTGATCTTACAAGCTCATGAAAAAATCTTGCCAGAGTACAAAACATTTAACAGGGTTCCACTCTACACTCATATTTGCCAACCTATTAGTTAGGTAACTAATTATTATTGTCAGCTACATATAAATTTGGCACACAGAACGAAGATACTTGCCTAATGTAAATTGTGTTGCATGACACTTACTGCATCTGGTATAAATTATGCTGCTACATATAATGCACTCAGTTGCCCACACTGAAGCATACACGAGTCTCATTCAGCTTAAGAGTTAATAAACGCATTTCAAGGAACACCTTTTAATGGTGAAACTCATCACTTTAAAAGAGAAACAAGAGAAGACTGACTTCAGCAAGTGCACACCAATGAAAAAGAGTGAAGCGTGCCCTCAGAAATTATTCACTTATGAGAAACAAAGAGAGAAAAACTTCTCTCAGTAATTACACACCAATGAGAAACTAGAATGAAAGAAATACGAAAAATTTACACCACAAGGGAAAACAATAGAGGACAATATGGAAAAGACAATAGAGAAGTCCCTGTACTGCTATCATGGTTGGTCTTCACCAATCATCCTTCTTCATATAATAGAAGACAGGCAAAGGTATGAGCCAACAAGTGATACTTCTGACACTTTAGACAGGGAGAACCTTCATTAAGTGACACTTCATCCACAGAGTAAGGCTTTATCAAGTAAATTATAAAGTGCCAATGTGGATGAAACATTGTGAAATAAGTTCTCCTTGCTTTAAATGTCTTTAAATTATTGTATAATAGAAGGTTTGTAGGAAGGAAACTAATATCAATTTCTGCTTATCAATCTACGTTAACACAGACTGATGAGCAGAAACTGATACATTTCCGAGATAATGGCACATTAAATTATAATTTTATATTTGCTATTCATTTAAGGCAGTCTGTGAAATGCACAGAAAACACTGATAAGACATGTTTTTTGTGAATTTATATGGTATACAAACTTTAAATTTTGCACCAAAATTAACTTGGCAATCTTGCCTAGCCTAGCTAAAATGACTAATATAATTTTAGCTTTCCCCTAGCCAACCCACCTTGAAACTACCTAACTGTACACAATTATTTTGTGATATTCAGAGTGAATTTTGCGATTATTGCAACACTAAAGACACGCTTGACTTTTGGCAAAATTATTATTGCTTTACAAACCAAGTTCTACAGACACATAAAAAAAAAATTAAATTATGCAATGCACATATTATCAATTTTCATACAATTTTACTTGAAATCCTTGTTACCAATACATGTTGAAAACAGTACATACCATTAATTGACTGTGTTGAAGTTGACTTCTTTTTTAAAGAGCCTGCCACACCAGGATCCGTGGTGCTTGCACTAGTACTACTAATGCCCACCATACCCCCAACGCTGGCTTGCGTCCCCACTGGTTTCTCTGAACTAGCCCGCTGAGGCACAATGCCATTCTGAAAATATGGAAAGACTGAATAAGTAAAATATTTGGATCTCCCTGGCAATAAATGCATAGTATGCACCCATGATCTGTAATATCTCTGACCAGTATCAAGAATTTTTCTACCCTCGCAGCCCAGCCTGAGGAAAGGTCTTTCTGTTTATTGTCTGTTCAACCAGACAAGTTGCTGCTGGCAGCCCACTGGCTCACACAGCCAAGCTACTTGGAGGGTGTCCTGGGGGTTGACACCCCCACGACCCATTCCTTGACCAGGAGCCTTAAGGTGATCCAGGATTGGAGCCTTAAGATGATCCAACATTGGAGCCTTAAGGTGACCCAGCAATGGAGCCTTAAGGTGACCCAGCATTGGAGCCTTAAGGTGACCCAGTATTGGAGCCTTAAGGTGACCCAGCATTGGAGCCTTAAGGTGACCCAGTGTTGGAGCCTTAAGGTGACCCAGCAGTGGAACCTTAAGGTGACCCAGCATTGGAGGCTTAAGGTGACCAAGTGTTGGAGCCTTAGGTGACCCAGCTTTCAAGCCATAAGGTGACCCAATGTTGGAGCCTTAAGATGACCCAGTGTTGGAGCATCTGACACTTGGAAGAGGTTATGATCTAGTTTCTTACTGAAAACTGAAGATAGTGATGAGGACTTGGAGTTGTATGACTATGAAGATAGAGAGAATGCTGCTGCCAATACAGATGATCCATCAAGCAAGGAAAATCTTGATGAGCTTAGAAGTACTACATAACACAACTTCTTTCCACCGAGAAAAAGAAATATGCCCAGATGTGTTATGTATGCTCTAACACCACTAAAAAAAAGGAAATGCAAGGACACATGATTCATGTGCAAACTTGCAAAACTCCACTGTGCATTGAACCCTGTTTTGAGGAGTTTCATGAACTCAAGCAACTATAGTTGGCATAGTGAACAGTGAGTGCAGTGTGTATACTGAGTGAACAGTGTATAGTGCATATAATATAGAAGTAAAAAAAAAATTCCAAGAGTGAAGAATTTATCAGTAAAAATTTTGCTCAAATAAAAAATAATCAGTTAATGAACACTAAATACTCTGTAAATATGGTCTGAAAATATATATACTAATGACACACACACAAGTTTTGAAAAGAAAAAACAAAAAGTGACCCAAAACACATAGCATGCAACTGCAATTGCATGATGTAACTATGTTACCATATGAGGGTCATTTTCAGAAACTTTAAATAACTATTTCTTGGTGAGCTTTAACCTGATTGTCATTTTTTTTAAACATGCAAAATCAAGGCCAGATTTTTGGTTAAAAATAAAATCCAAAAATATTTTGAAACTAAAATACAATTTTTGTGTTATCCCCAATGGCAGTTTAAGGGTTAACAAAGACAATGAGATTGGAATTTGATCATGGATTAAATACTTGAAAAATATTCTGCACAAAACATCTTGCAATATGAGTAACATTTTACTAGACAAGCAACATTATTACTTCTGAACCCTTAAACTGTCCTAACGTAGATCAACGTTTGCACTGCTAGTGTTCCAAACATATATCTACGTTTTATTTTCACTGCCTTCAAATTTGGCATGATTGATCTGAGATGTGTGGTCAGTACAGAATGAGTCTTAACACTTGGTGTGCACAGTATTAAAAAAATCTGGGACCACTTAGTACCTTGTGGGAGCACCATTTCAACTGAGCACCAGCTAGAGCAAATAGTGTGGCAAACACCAGGGATTCACTGATGCCATGCCGTATTAACACTCCCCTTTTAAGAAAGTTAAGTTAACCCAGAGTTTAGTGGCTTTGAGATGGATGTGGCCATACTTGGTCGAGGAAATATCAAAAACCTCAATAATAACCCATGTGCAACATCCTTTCATTTCTGATACCACTGGTAGTGTCATCCTGTCAGAATGTCCTATAACCTATGCCCTAAGAAAAGAGACATTATTCTGGAACATGTGTAATATGTGTTTGGCAGGCCTAGTGGCTGGCTGGTCAAGTGGCTGGCTGGCTGGCTGGGTAGCTGGCTGGCCGGGTAGCTGGCTGGCCGGGTAGCTGGCTGGCCGGGTAGCTGGCTGGCTGGGTAGCTGGCTGGCCAGGTAGCTGGCTGGCCGGGTAGCTGGCTGGCCGGGTAGCTGGCTGGCCGGGTAGCTGGCTGGCCGGGTAGCTGGCTGGCTGATTGACTTTGGCTGTCTCTATCTCCATCTGTGTCTGTATCTATCTCTGCCTGTCTCTGTCTATCTCTGTCTCTACCTCACAGGTATACATAAATAGTTATTATACATAGTGTAAGTTACCTAGGATAATCCACAAAATCCAGACAGTGCTATACTGTGCTTGTAGATATAAGGCATAATAAGCATGACTGGCAAGTAATACGCATTTCACTTGTTCAGGAATCAGATATGACTCTGCATCGTGTGTAATACCTGTTAGTTCATGAGTGGCTCTCTGAGAAAGAAAGAGACAAGCAGACAGAGAGACAGGAAGACAGACACAGGCAGAGAGACAGATAAGCAGAGACAAAGTGACAGAGCTAGACAGACAGACAAATAAGACATATAGACAGACAAACAGATAGACATGTTTATAGTTAACAGTGAAAACAAATAAAGCCAAGACAGTGCACTATCAAGTGTCACTCACTGCTGCACTGTCAGTAATGGAGTGACACTCGTCTTACACAGTGCTGCTTCAAGGAGTTTCATATACACTCCAGCATGTCTAAAACATTGCTGGCACCCCATAAATACTATGCATATATTTCTAGACAATAGTAGGTGACCAAGGCAGATGAAAATGTTCACCTGTCAGTGTGTTTGTGACTATCTGAGTACTATTTGAATACCTAATATTAGTGTCAGAACAAACATTGGCTATGAAATCACAAAAACTACTACAATTTGTAATTATCAGAACAAAAAATTATTTATTTTATTTTATTAACACATCGGCCGATTCCCACCACGAAGGGTGGCCTGAAAAAGAAAAACTTTCATCATCATCCACTCCATCACTGTCTTCCCAGAGGGGTGCTTTACACTACAGTTATAAAACTGCAACATTAACAACCTCCCTTCTGAGTGTAGACACTGTACTTCCCATCTCCAGGACTAAAGTCCGGCATGCAGGTTTCCATGAATCCCTTCATAAATGTTACTTTGTTCACACTCCAACAGCACGTCAAGTATTAAAAACAATTTGTCTCCATTCACTCCTATCAAATATGCTCACCCACGCTTGCTGGAAGTCCAAGCCCCTTGCACACAAAACCACCTTTACCCCCTCCCTCCAACCCTTCCTAGGCCGACCCCTACCCCGCCTTCCCTCCACTACAGATTTATACACTCTCGAAGTCATTCTGTTTTGTTCCATTCTCTCTACATGTCCGAACCACCTCAACAACCCCTCCTCAGCCCTCTGGACAATAGTTTTGGTAATCCTACACGTCCTAATTTCCAAACTATGAATTCTCTGCATTATATTCACACCACACGTTGCCCTCAGACATGACATCTCCACTGCCTCCAGCCTTCTCCTCATTGCAACATTTATCACCCATGCTTCACACCCATACAAGAGTGTTGGTACAACTATACTCTCATGCATTCCCCTCTTTGCTTCCACGGCCAAAGTTCTTTGTCTCCACAGACTCCTAAGTGCACCACTCACCCTTTTTCCCTCATCAATTCTATGATTCACCTCATCCTTCATTGACCCATCTGCTGACACGTCCACTCCTAAATATCTTTCGTCATCTAATCTTTTTGTTATCCACATAACCTTACTCTTTCTTATATTCACTTTTAATTTTCTTCTTTCATATTTTTTTTTTTTCAACAAGTCGGCCGTCTCCCACCGAGGCAGGGTGACCCAAAAAACAAAGAAAATCCCCAAAAAGAAAATACTTTCATCATCATTCAACACTTTCACCACACTCACACACAATCACTGTTTTTGCAGAGGTGCTCAGAATACAACAGTTTAGAAGCATATACGAATAAAGATACACAATATATCCCTCCAAACTGCCAATATCCCAAACCCCTCCTTTAAAGTGCAGGCATTGTACTTCCCATTTCCAGGACTCAAGTCCGACTATATGAAAATAACCGGTTTCCCTGAATCCCTTCACTAAATATTACCCTGCTCACACTCCAACAGATCGTCAGGTCCCAAGTACCATTCGTCTCCATTCACTCCTAACACGCTCACGCACGCTTGCTGGAAGTCCAAGCCCCTTGCCCACAAAATCTCCTTTACCCCCTCTCCCAACCCTTCGAGGACGACCCCTACCTTGCCTTCCTTCCCCTATAGATTTATATGCTTTCCATATCATTCTACTTTGATCCATTCTCTCTAAATGACCAAACCACCTCAACAACCCCTCTCTGCCCTCTGACTAATACATTTATTAACTCCACACCTTTTCCTAATTCCACACTCCGAATTTTTCTGCATAATATTTACACCACACATTGCCCTTAGACAGGACATCTCCACTGCCTCCAACCATCTCCTCGCTGCTGCATTTACCACCCAAGCTTCACACCCATATAAGAGTGTTGGTACTACTATACTTTCATACATTCCCTTCTTTGCCTCCATAGACAACGTTTTTTGACTCCACATATACCTCAATGCACCACTCACCTTTTTCCCTCGTCAATTCTATATTAACCTCATCCTTCATAAATCCATCCGCCGACACGTCAACTCCCAAGTATCTGAAAACATTCACTTCTTCCATACTCCTCCTCCCCAATTTGATATCCAATTTTTCTTTATCTAAATCATTTGACACCCTCATCACCTTACTCTTTTCAATGTTCACTTTCAACTTTCTACCTTTACACACATTCCCAAACTCATCCACTAACCTTTGCAATTTTTCTTTAGAATCTCCCATAAGCACAGTATCATCAGCAAAAAGTAGCTGTGTCAATTCCCCTTTTGTATTTGATTTTCCATAATTTAATCCCACCCCTCTGCCGAACACCCTAGCATTTACTTCTTTTACAACCCCATCTATAAATATATTAAACAACCATGGTGACATTACACATCCCTGTCTAAGACCTACTTTTACCTGGAAGTAGTCTCCCTCTCTTCTACACACCCTGACCTGAGCCTCACTATCCTCATAAAAACTCTTTACAGCATTTAATAACTTACCACCTATTCCATATACTTGCAACATCTGCCACATTGCTCCTCTATCCACTCTATCATATGCCTTTTCTAAATCCATAAATGCAATAAAAACTTCCCTACCTTTATCTAAATACTGTTCACATATATGCTTCAATGTAAACACTTGATCTACACATCCCCTACCCACTCTGAAACCTCCTTGCTCATCCGCAATCCTACATTCTGTCTTACCTCTAATTTTTTCAATTATAACCCTACCGTACACTTTTCCTGGTATACTCAGTAAACTTATTCCTCTATAATTTTTACAGTCTCTTTTGTCCCCTTTCCCTTTATATAAAGGGACAATACATGCTCTCCGCTAATCCCTAGGTACCTTCCCCTCTTTCATATATTTATTAAACGAAAGTACCAACCACTCCAACACTATATACCCCCCTGCTTTTAACATTTCTGTCATGATCCCATCAGTTCCAGCTGCTTTACCCCCTTTCATTTTACGTAATGCCTCACGTACCTCCCCCACACTTACATTCTGCTCTTCTTCACTCCTAAAAGATGGTATACCTCCCTGACCAGTGCATGAAATTACTGCCTCTGTTTCTTCCTTAACATTTAGAAGTTCCTCAAAATATTCTCGCCATGTACCTAATACCTCCATCTCCCCATCTACTACTCCCCTACTCTGTTTTTAACTGATAAATCCATAATTTCCCTAGGCTTTCTTAACTTGTTTAACTCACTCCAAATTTTTTTCATATTTTCATTAAAATTTCTTGACAGTGCCTCTCCCACTCTTTCATCTGCTCTCCTTTTGCACTCTCTCACCACTCTCTTCACCTTTCTTTTACTCTCCATATACTCTGCTCTTCTTATAACACTTCTGCTTTGTAAAAACCTCTCATAAGCTACCTTTTTCTCTTTTATCACACCCTTTACTTCATCATTCCACCAATCACTCCTCTTCCTCCTGCCCCCACCCTCCTATAACCACAAACTTCTGCCCCACATTCTAATACTGCATTTTTAAAACTGTTCCAACCCTCTTCAACCCCCCACTCCTCATCTTTGCACTAGCCCACCTTTCTGCCAATAGTCGCTTATATCTCACCCGAACTTCCTCCTCCCTTAGTTTATACACTTTCACCTCCCTCTTACTTGTTGTTGCCACCTTCCTCTTTTCCCATCTACCTCTTACTCTACTGTAGCTACAACTAAATGATCAATATATCAGTTGCCCCTCTATAAACATGTACATCCGGGAGCCTACCCATCAACCTTTTATCCACCAATACATAATCTAATAAACTACTTTCATTACATGCTACATCATACCTTGTAAAATTTATTTATCCTCTTTTCATAAAATATGTATTACTTATTACCAAATCTCTTTCTACACATAGCTCAATTAAAGGCTCCCCATTTACATTTACCCCTGGCACCCCAAATTTACCTACTACTCCCTCCATAACATTTTTACCCACTTTAGCATTGAAATCCCCAACAACCATTACTCTCACACTTGATTCAAAACTCCCACGCATTCACTCAACATTTTCCCAAAATCTCTCTCTCTCCTCTACACTTCTCTCTTCTCCAGGTGCATACACACTTATTATAACCCACTTTTCACATCCAATCTTTATTTTTACTCCACATAATCCTTGAATTAATACATTTATAATCCCTCTTTTCCTGCCATAGCTTATCCTTCAACATTATTGCTACTCCTTCTTTAGCTCTAACTCTATTTGAAACCCCTGACCTAATCCCATTTATTCCTCTCCACTGAAACTCTCCCACCCCCTTCAGCTTTGTTTCACTTAAAGCCAGGACATCCAGTTTCTTCTCATTCATAACATCCACAATCATCTCTTTTTTATCATCTGCACAACATCCACGCACATTCAGACTTCCCACTTTGACAATTTTCTTATTATTATTCTTTTTAGTAATCTTTACAGGAAAAGGGTTACTAGCCCCTTGTTCCCGGCATTTAGTTGACTTTTACAACACGCATGGCTTACGGAGGAAAGATTCTTATTCCACTTCCCCCTGGATATAAAAGGGAAAAATAATAAGACCAAGAACTATTAAGATAAAATCAAAGAAAACTCAGATGAGTGTGTATAAATAAATGTGTACATGTATGTGTAGTGTGACCTAAGTGTAAGTAGAAGTAGCAAGACATACCTGTAATCTTGCATATTTATGAGACAGACAAAAGACATCAGCAATCCTACCATCATGTAAAACAATCACAGGCTTTCGTTTTACACTCACTTGGCAGGACAGTAGTACCTCCCTGGGTGGTTGCTGTCTACCAACCTACTATCTATAAATATATATTACTATAAATATATATAAATATTTATATATATATTACTATAAATATATTATCTATAAATATATTAAACAACTATCTATAAAAATATTAAACAACCATATCACCATGGATGTTTAATATATTTATAGATGGGGTTGTAAAAGAAGTAAATGCTAGGGTGTTCAGGAGAGGGGTGGGATTAAATTATGGGGAATCAGATACAAAATGGCAATTGACACAGTTACTTTTTGCTGATGATACTGTGCTTATGGGAGATTCTAAAGAAAAATTGCGAAGGTTAGTGGACGAATTTGGGAGTGTATGTAAAGGTAGAAAGTTGAAAGTGAACACAGAAAAGAGTAAGGTGATGAGGGTATCAAATGATTTAGATAAAGAAAAATTGGGGAGGAAGAGTATGGAAGAAGTGAATGTTTTCAGATATTTGGGAGATGACACGTCAGTGGATGGATTTATGAAGGATGAGGTTAATCAAAGAATTGTTGAAGGAAAAAAGGTTAGTATATGTGGAGACAAAAAATGTTATGTATGGAGGCAAAGAAGGAATGTATGAAAGTATAGTAATACCAACACTCTTATATGGGTGTGAAGCTTGGGTTGTAAATGGTGCAGCGAGGAGGCGGTTGGAGGCAGGGGAGATGTCCTGTCTAAGGGCAATGTGTGGTTTAATATCATGCAGAAAATTCGGAGTGTGGAAATTAGAAGGTGTGGAGTTAATAAAAGTATTAGTCAGAGGGCTGAAGAGGGGTTGTTGAGGTGGTTTGGTCATTTAGAGAGAATGGATCAAAGTAGAATGACATGGAGAGCGTATAAATCTGTAGGGGAAGGAAGGCGGGGTAGGGGTCGTCCTCAAAAAGGTTGGAGGTTTAGTGGGCAACAGGCTTGGACTTCCAGCAAGCGTGCGTGAGCATGTTAGATACGAGCGAATGGGGATGGATGGTATTTGGGACCTGACGAGCTGTTGGAGTGTGAGCAGGGTAATATTTAGTGAAGGGATTCAGGGAAACCGGTTATTTTATATAGCTGGACTTGAGTCCTGGAAATGGGAAGTACAATGCCTGCACTTTAAAGGAGGGGTTTGGGATATTGGCAGTTTGGAGGGATATGTTGTGTATCTTTATACGTATATACTTCTAAACTCCTAGGTAGTGGGTTGGTAAACAGCAACCGCCCAGGGAGGTACTACCGTCCTGCGAAGTGAGTGTACAACAAAAACCTGTAATTGTTTTACATGATGGTAGGATTGCTGGTGTCTTGTCTGTCTCATAAACATGCAAGATTTCAGGTATGTCTTGCTACTTCTACTTGCACTTAGGTCACACTACACATACATGTACAAGCATATATATACACACCCCTCTGGGTATTCTTCTATTTTCTTTCTAGTTCTTCTTCTTGTTTATTTCCTCATATCTCCATTGGGAAGTGGAACAGAATTCTTCCTCCGTAAGCCATGTGTGTTGTAAGAGGCGGCTAAAATGCCGGGAGCAAGGGGCTAGTAACCCCTTCTCCCGTATAAATTACTAAATTTAAAAGAAACTTTTGTTTTTCTTTTTGGGCCACCCTGCCTTGGTGGGATACGACCGGTGTGTTGAAAGAAAGAAAGACTTCTAAACTGTTGTATTCTGAGCACCTCTGCAAAAACAGTGATTATGTGTGAGTGAGGTGAAAGTGTTGAATGATGATGAAAGTATTTTCTTTTTGAGGATTTTCTTTCTTTTTGGGACACCCTGCCTCGGTGGGAGATGGCCACTTGTTAAAAAAAAAAAAAAATACTCTTCCCTCCTTGCATCACTTCTACTCTGTAAAAACTTCTCATATGCTATCTTTTTCTCCTTTACTACTCTCTTTACATCTTCATTCCATCAATCACTCTTCAACACATCTGCAAGTAGAAGGACTCCATGAGTACTGGCAGTGAAAACATAGATATATGTTTGGACAGTTTAAGGGGTAAGAATGTTACCTTAAAAAAATAATAACTATGATAAATTATGATAAATTATTTTCAGGTATCTAATACTGATTTGGGTAGCACAAATCTTATCCTGCATATTTCGCAAACTTAGTAAGTGAACACTCACCGTGGGCTGAGCTGTGTACACTGTTCCATAACTCCTGGAAGGTAACTGATTCTCAGTTACTTTACCTTGTGTGTGTGTCAGGTACTCAAGTGTTACAACACCCCGTCGATCTGTAACACAAACGATTTAAATTTAACACAGAGCTCAAGATATTAAACAAATAGAAAAACAGAGGCTTTTACTTTTATATATCTACTGTATATTATAGGCCATAAGACTTCCAGCAGGCGTGCATGAGCGTGTTCGATGCGAGTGAATGGAGACGAATAGTATTTGGGACCTGAAGATCTGTTGGAGTGTGAGCAGGGTAATATTTAGTGAAGGGATTCAGGGAAACCGGTTATTTTTATATAGCCGGACTTGAGTTCTGGAAATGGGAAGTACAATGTCTGCACTCTAAAGGAGGGGGTTTGGGATATTGGCAGTTTGGGGGATATAGTTAACTTTAACTATAGTTAAAAACGTTTTTGTTCTGAGCACCTCTGAAAAAACAGTGGTTATGTGTGAGGGGGAAAAGTGTTGAATGATGATGAAAGTATTTTTTTTTGGGGATTTTTTTTTTTTTGGGGTCACCCTGCCTCAGTGGGAGACCCCAACTTTTTGGGGGGAAAAAAAAAAAAAATTTCATGGCCCATAGACGGGGAACAAATTTACATTTTGAAAAAATACTGGCACCCCAGATCTTAAGCCAAGTTAATTTTTGGGAAAAATTTGTGAACTGGGTTTCACTGAAACTAAAAATATGCCGCCACTATATGCAAATAAAAATTTTATTTGCTTTCAATTTAACACTTTTAAAAATAATAAAAAATAGATATGCTGAAATTTTTAAATTTCAAAAGTTAATGAATATAGCGTATTCAGCACAATGCCAGTAGTGAAGAGACCGTCTAGTATGAATCATGCTATCAAAATACCTACTCATTCAGGGCAAAGTGATGTTTATTTGGTTAATAAAATGAGGAAGAATAAGGCAAGTCTTTTGTCACTTTCCCGGATTTTAGGCTTCAGTCTAGCCAATGCCTAGGTTTTAATTTCATTCCATAAACACATATAAACCCCCACATGCATGATCACACAATAAAAAAAATAACAGACAATTTTCAATATGCATTGAAAAGTTAATAAGAATGTCCCTTTACAATTTTCGGGAAGCCAAAGCCAGGTCAGCCAAGGGGGCAATTGAAGGGAGGGTTGCTGAGAGGACAATATGATGGGGGAAGAATGCAGGAAGACTGAAGAACTGACAGGACAGGGAAATAAAAAAAAGGGAAAGGTGCAGCAGAGGGGGAGGGCAGCACAGGAAGGGGGGCAGCAATGATAAAGGGGCGGGGTGTAGTACTCTCTCAGTTTTGATCAATACTATAGATTTAAAGTTCCATGGCAAAGGAAACAATAATTTACTGCATCACAACCTGAAAACTTATGGAAAAGACCTATCCTCATTCGGGCTTTTTTCTAGCGAAAGACAGCCCCCCACAAATTTTCCCAAAAAAAATACTTAAATCATCAACCTCACAAAACAATTGAAAATTTAAAATACAGCTTTCTCAGCTTCCCAAAACCCAGCTTTTTGCTGTTTAAAAGGGAGCAATATTCATGCCTTTCAGGGGTTACTCTTTATACTTTTATAGCAACCAGCCCCTTTCCCCACTTATTGAGACTTGTTTATGACAACTTGAGTTACGACGGGCCTCGATGAGTTGTTATTGTTACGTACAAGAACTTGGGTCGAGCAGGCAGCGCAGCGTCCATGTAAGCATCTTAATCTCCCCCCTACAGCCCTCATATATACTTTTCAGTCTCCAAGACTACACATTTGTACAAATTTTTAGTTGTTTTTCCCTTGGAGAGGGAAAAAAAAAGAGGAAAAAGGAAGCAAAAGAAGTTCATTGTAAAGGGGGGGTGATATTTCCACATCAGCAATCTTCAAGATTACAAATTTCACATAAATTGTACTTGATTGTGCATCCCAAATAGAGTAGAGTCAGAATGAAGCAGCACTTGGAAAAGGAAAAACAAAGGAAAAGGAATAAGTACAAAAAAATTACAGTAAAGGGGTTACGGGGGTTTGTATGTGGTTTACATTCTTGGGTACGTGGCAGCTTTTAAAAAATGATTAAAATCTCTGAACAAGGGGATGTTGATGGTAATAATATAATAATAACAAACAATAATAATAATAATAAATAATAACAACGCTCTGGGGTGTTTTAAACGTCCCGCTATCAAACCCATACGAAAAACTTATGACATTTAAAAAACATCCAATCCAAATTATTATTATAAAAAAAAATTATAAAAAAATTATTATTTAAAATATTATTATTTTTATTTTTTCTTTAACCTCGGTCGTCCCCACCCAAGAGGGGGACCCCAAAAAAAAAAAATTTCCTCACAAAGAAAATGCTTCAATCATTAACACTTTCCTTCACTCATACATAATCACGTCTTTTCAAGGCACTCAGTAGACATTTAGAAGTCCCCCCAAAACCAAAAACCCCAAAACCCTCCTTTAAAAAAAAAGGGATTGTACTTCCCCCTTTCCAGGATCAAGTCCGGCTAACCGGTTTCCCTGAATCCCTTCACAAAACATTTCCCTGCTCAACTCCAACAGCTCATGAGGGTTCCCAAAAAACCCTTCGTCTCCATTCACTCTTATTAAACAAAGCTCACTATCTTTCTGGAAGCCAAAACCTCTCGCCCAAAAAACCCCTTACCCCCCCCCCCAAACCTTTCAAAAGGGGACCCTTACTTCCTTCCCTTTCCCCCACAGATTTTAAAACTCTACAAATCTTTTCTACTTTGATCCCTTCCTCTAATGGCCAAACCCCCAAAAACCCTCTTCAGCTCTTGACTAATACTTTTTTGTAAATCCACCCTCCTCCTAAATTTTCCCCACCTTTAATTCTCTGCATAAATTTTCAGACATTCCCTTAACAAGACATCTCCACTGCCCCTGCTCCTCCCACTGCAGCATTTTAAACCCAATTTTCACCCCCTATAAGAGTGCTGGTCCACTATACTTTTTGACATTCCCCTTTTTTGCCTCCCGGTAACGTTATTTAAATTACTAATAAAAAAATAATAAAAATAAAAAAAACACTAAATTTTGCATTTTTTCTTAGACAAAGTAATCTAGAAGTGTCTCCCCGATGTACACAATTTTTTTTGTATAAACCGATGTACGATGAAAAACGATGTATCTTTTTGATCATTCCCAAACAGCAGCCTCCAGTCTATCCCTTCACATAACCGGCAAATTTTTTCAATTAAGTGTCTTATTTATTCAAGGGGATTTACTGTTTTTGATATCAAAATTTTTAATATGTAATAGATGGGTAACCCTTTTTACTTATATTTCGTAATTACACAATATTTTTTTAGCCCACGCCTAACATTTAACCCATAACGACTAGCTTCTAACGTTTTATTCTGAGCACCCCTGCAAAAACAGTGAAATGTGTGAGGGGGTTAAAGTGTTGAATGATAAATATTTTTTTTTGGGGATTTTTCTTTCTTTTTTTGGGCACCCTGCCTCGTGGGAACGGGCCCCTTTTAAAAAAAAAAAAAAAACTAAACCATCGAATCAAAATTTTCCCCCTCCTCATTTATCCCCACTTTTAAGAAAAAATTTGTATAACAAAAAAAAAAAAAATTTAAAAAACGGGAAAACAAATTTACTATACAAAAAATTTTCCCCCGGCAAAAAATAATTTTTTAAAAACAAAAATTCGTAAAATGTACAAAAAATTTTATTTTTTCCGCTTAAGCTACAATTTAACTCAGATTTTTACAAATTTTTCGAAAAAAAAAAAAAAAAAAAAAACAAAAAAAAAAAAAAACATGGCCACCCCCCGGGGGGTCCCCAAAAAAAGAAAAAAAAACCCCAAAAAGAAAAATTTTATCATAAACAACACTTTCACCACACCACAATTATCATTTTTTTTGCAAGGGCTAGAAACAACATTTTAGAACAATACGTAAAAAAGTCACAACATACCCCTCCAAACTGCCAATACCCAAACCCCTCCTTTAAAGTGCAGCATTTACTTCCTTTTCCCAGGACTCAAGTCCGACTATATGAAAAAAACCCGGGTTTCCCTGAATCCCTTCACTAAATATTACCCTGCCACACCCCAAACAGTCGCAGTCCCAAAATCATTCTCTCCTTTCACTCCTATCTAACACGCTCATGCACGCAGCTGAAGTCCAACCCCCTTTCCCCACAAAAACCCCCTTTTAAACCCCCCCTTTCCAACCCTATCGACGACGACCCCTACCCCCTTCCTTCCCCATAGATTTATATCTTTCCCATGTCATTCTACTTTGATCCTTCTCTCTAAATACCAAACCCCCTCAACAACCCCTCTTCTGCCCTCGAAACTTTTTTAACCCACCCCTTCCCAAATTTCCACACTCTAATTTTTTCTGCAAAATATTTACACCACACATTGCCCTTAACAGACATCTCCACTCCCTCCAACCTCTCCCCCCCTGCTGCAAATTTACCACCCCAAACTTCACATCCATATAAAGTGTTGAAAATACTAACTTTCATACATCCCTTCTTTTCCTCCCTAAATAAAGTTTTTTGACCCACATATACCTCAACCCCACCACCTTTTTTTCCCCCATCAATTTTTTTGTTAACCTCTCCTTCAAAATCCATCCCCACAGTCAACCCCAATACTGAAAACATCATTTCTTTTTTTTAAATGCTATTTAAATTTGCCATTTGGCTTGTTACAAAGTAGGCGGAGAAGCAAGGGGGAAGGGGGCATGTCCAGTAAAATCATTGGCCCTATGCATGAAAAGGGGGTTTCCTCTCGGGACTATAAAATATTGTATTAATACACATTTTGATCAATAAAGGTTAAATACCTACAATGAACCTGGTTTTCATTTTAACTGGGTTTCCCGAAGTTAGACAAAAAACCCAAAATTGATGAAAACTAAAGCAATATTCCCTAAGAAATAATGTAAATCAAAAATTGTTCCAATTCCAAAGTATTTAAAAAAAAAATACTTTTATAAGAAAAATTGTTTTACATAAAGAAAACAATGAAAATAAATATAAATACTATTTTAATGGATAAATTTAAAATTTAAACCACTATTACATACCTTTATTGAAGACCTTTTGGCGACATTCTTCGCACTTTGGCCAAACACTTAATTTACCCCCTTCAATGAAAACTAGCCTCGTTACCCATTCCCCTTTTTTAGCCTTCCACAAACACACAACTACTTTTCATGACATTGTTTTTCTCGAACACTTGGGGGTTTTCAATGAAAACACCAGTAAAAACTTCCTTTGAAATCCCCCTAGCGTTGCACGAACAAAAGATTAGCCTATCCTTCATAGTTGTGTCCTCCAGTGCCTTTTCCTCCTGTGTTGTAGGTCCTCTTTGGCATTTTCTTTCCCAAAAAAGGGGCCCGTTTTGTCCAAATGAACACTTGTTTTTGGGTAGGAATCCTTCAGCCTCTTTACCCCTGAATTCACAACGAATTTTTTCGGGTGCACGTTTGTCAACTTGCAGATCACCAACCTTAACACCTTTGTATGCCCAAACACCTCTTTGTCGAACCAGCCTCTGCTGGGCCCTTTAAAACACTAACACAGCACTCTTCCAGGGATTTTTTTTTTCGAGATCTGCTGCAACTGCCTTTTCCTTTTCACAAATAAGAAAATAAAACATAAGAAAAAAAACACTGCAACAGGCCTACTACCCTCGCAGCAGGGCCATTCCCACCCCGGGTTAGACCAAGACCCACCCCCCGGATTATCCCAATGACCCACCATCTGGTCATCCCCACTCAAGATGGGGGCACTGTACCAGACCCACAGCAAAGCTTTTCAGGTCCAACCACACCCACCCACACCCACTCATGTATTTATCTAACCCATTTTTTAAAACTACACAACATTTTCCTCAATAATTGTACTCGGGAGCTTGTCCACTCATCCACAACTCTATACCAAACCACTTCCTATTCCTTCCCGAATCACAACAGCAGCACTCGTTCCAGGGATTTTTTTTTTCGAGATCTCCATGCAACTGCCTTGCCTTTTCACAAATAAGAACATAAGAAAGAAAGAACACTGCAACAGGCCTACTGACCCACGCGGAGCAGGTCCATGTCCCACCCCGGATTAGACCAATGACCCACCCCCCGGATTATCCCAATGACCCACCCAGTCTGGTCATCCCCACTCAAGGATGGAGCACTGTACCAGACCCAGCAGCAAAGCTAGTCAGGTCCAACTCACACCCACCCACACCCACTCATGTATTTATCTAACCTATTTTTAAAACTACACAACATTTTAGCCTCAATAACTGTACTCGGGAGCTTGTTCCACTCATCCACAACTCTATTACCAAACCAGTGCTTTCCTATATCTTTCCTGAATCTGAATTTTTCCAACTTGAAATCATTGCTGTGAGTCCTGTCTTGGCTGGAAATTTTCAGCACACTATTTACATCCCCTTTATTTATTCCCGTTTTCCATTTATACACTTCGATCATATCCCCCCTAATTCTACGCCTTTCGAGAGAGTGCAGATTCAGGGCCCTCAGTCTATCCTCATAGGGAAGATTTCTGATACATGGGATCATCAACACACCAACAATAACTTCTCAACATCTTCAATTATTTGCGATCTCTGTTTCATTAACACATTTACCCCTTCCACAATATCAGCTTCCTTAATTTCTTTTTTCTTCGCCAGGGTGGAACGGACAGGTGTAGTAGTAGCAACAGCAATGCACATGCAAGAGACATTCTTGAGCTTCCCCAGCGCTCGGGCTTAATGCCTGGAGCTGGAGTGCGACTCCAAAAGGATCCTGTAGTGCTTGCTGCCTTTGCACCTCCTGACATCGTCTGCTGCTATGCAGTTGCCACAACCTTCGAGCCCAGTGCAGAAGCCCAAGGTGCCTAGCTTCTCCCTCCAAGCTCCATGGGGGTAGGGAATGGGACTAGGCCACACGTACGTCACTCTAGTATTTTTCTATAAGTTCCTTCTTGAATTTTATCGTGTTTCTCACCTTCTTTATCAAAGGACTGGCACTCTTGAGCTTTCTTTGGCCCCATGGTGGCTTATTTAGTAGTTGCACTCAATAAACAAGCAAAAACAATAGATTATTATGAAATGTTTCGTATGAATGTGCAAAGTAATGTTTACTCTACGAGAAACAAAGCCAGACTGATGCTTTGTGTGGGCGCAGGCAGGTGGACGCGTTGGGGACGGCCGACGAAAACCAAGGTGACAAACGAAAACTAGGACCACATTTTGACGAAAAGTCATTGAAAACCAAATTCGACAAAAACCAGAACAAACGAAAACCGAGGTTCCACTGTATAACATTTGTTCCAGAATAATATTAGGTATAACATAAATAACATAGAAGCATGATAAAGATGCCCAAATTAATGAAAACTGACATTATATAGAGAGGTATGGAAGGGTGGGGGGAGGGGAGGGATAAAAAAAAAAAAAAGTGACCATGACCATTACAGAAAACATTACACGCCTGAAGGGTAACTACAGAAGATCATTCTTATCCTATGCAAAGAATGAAAAAAGCACGATTTTATTGAAAAAAAAAAAATCCCCCAAAAATCAGCTATGCGCACATTTCCTGGAATATCTCGGAAGTCATTGACCTATATTACTTTGTATTACTGTTAATAATAAACAGATTGAAAGGAATTTCCCAGCAAACATAAAACTGCACGTTTTAATTTTGGGTGGTGACACTTTTGAAGTGTCAGTAAGGGGTAATTCCTTGATTAGCGATGAATTCATTTACTGACAGGGTCTTAGGCCCCTAACCCCATCTTTAAGTGAAGAGAGGCTGTACTATACACAGTTCCCAAATTTTCCTGTACCCTCAATTGATGCTTCAGTATTTTACAATTAAATAAACAAACATTTGGAAATATTATAATCAAAATAAGTGCTAAACCTTTAACCCTTTCATTTTCCAAATCCCTGATCTGAGAATTGCTCTGTGTCCAAGAATTAAAAAAAAAAAATGGAAAACTGACAAACTTACACTTTCACGAATTTTGCTGTGTCAGCAATATTTATGTATCTGCAATTTTCCCCACCAAGTCCTTTTTAGGCCAATTACATTATCACAGTCGACCAAATTCTTATCTATTTTGCTAGTATGTCTTCCATATTATCAACTGGGCACAAGAAACTGCCAAATTAACTATTTTATTTTTTCTTCTTTTTTTTTTTACAAAGGGTTTGACAAGGTTAGATTAAGAATCCCTAGCTTTATTGACAAGCTATATACAGGTCAAGGATTCCAAACTTCATTGGTAAGCTAAGAGCTGTTACCTACATCAACTCATTTGAAAGCATTTTTATTGTTATGAAACATGCAAGTATTTTTATTGTTATGACACATACAAGCAGGGAACAGGATGAAGTTGGAGCCATCTGTGGGCCAGCATTTTCATTTGATCAACTGACTTTATCTCGTTGACATCATAATGCTGTACGAATGTGTTCCAGACTCGAGTCATCCTGGGGATAAACGATCTCAGATGAAGTGATGTTCTGGAGAAGGGTATAGCCAGAGTGAAGTTGCTGCTTTCTGCCAGTCTTGTGGTATAGAAGCTTGCTTCTCGTTGTCCTCAAAGTGGATGCAAGTGTGGTACTTTGACAATATTGGCCTTGTACATAACAGTAAGGCCACCCACATCCCTCCTATTTTGAAGACTCTGCTGAAATGACAGATCTATCCAGGATGGGTCCAGGTGAGAGATGAGACATCTTGCTCTGTTCTCTACTCTGTCAAGCAGTCGCAGATGAGAGGGGGGGTAGGCAAACCAAGAAAGTGGAGCATACTCAAGGTGTGAGCGTACTTGTGCCTCATACAGAATCTTGCAACCCTTACTGTCAAGCAGATGTGAGATATGGAATAGTGCTGTAAGCTTCCTGGCTGCCTTGTTTGCAAGATTTACAACATGGTTCTTCATGGTCAGTTTGGAGTCAAATTTCATCCCAAGGATATCAACTTCTTCCCCAGGTACCAACACTCTCCCATTCATACTTACTACTGCACTGGCATTACCATCATGGTGCCTAGAGACCATCATCATTTGTGTTTTCTCAGGTGAAAATGTTACTTGCCATCTGTTTCCCCAAGCTGATATAGCTCTTAGCTGGTGACTGATGTAGCTTAGAGCAGCTGGCATTTCAACTACCCAATAAAGTGATCAGAAATTGGTAATTTGGCCAATTTCACACAAATTTCAAAATATTCCAATTTCAAAATAAGGTCCAGAATAAACAATGAAAGCATTTCAGGCACTAAAATAACATTTCCTCTGTTCATCAGTTATGTTCCTAAGAGGGACACATTAATTTCATTTTGAATTTTTCTTCACAAAAAATTGAAGATTTACAACATGTTATGCAATACTGTAATAATTGTATAAATAATATCAGTGTATTTATGAATGTATATCAGACCCACCAGTTGGATGTGTATTGGAGGGTGACATGATTTGTTTACTCTTGAATATCAGTAAAAAATAAACATTTCTGCTACTCTGAGCTCAGTTTCAAGCTATTTTCAGTTCTGAAACCAATCAAAATCATTTATGTAATATAACTTTCATTCTATCAAATGAGACCAAGAAACTGAAAATATAACCATAAAAAACATACAAAAATACACTGCAAAGTCGCTGTTTTAAACCAAAAACACGGTCACAGTTGTTTCCCCTCATGCAATGCATGCTGCATTTTTTTATATGGTACACACTTACTGCAATAGACTCATTATCAGTAGTACTATGGCCCAGACAATAAAGGGGTTAAAGGTTATACATCATACATAATTTGGTGGGTGGTAAGCACATTTTATTAATTTCTCACATTTTTATGTATTCTTTGTCTTTTTGCCAAAATTTTATATGTAACAGGAAGCTCCTAGCTTAAATTTGTCTAAAACAAAGATGTTCAACTGTAAATTTTTAAAAATTCTTACCTATAAGACTGGGTTGGACTGGGCCACACAATACTGCTAGGCAATTCAGGCAGAAGTTACCATAACCATATGGATTAAAGTTTGCCTGTCCTCGGCGTGCAGTGAACGAACCTTTAATCTATAAAGAAAAATATTTTTTTGGTTTCTCATACATGCAATTTAAATATATATTCAATCGTTTGGCTCTCAGTTTAATAAAAACCAAAAGAAAACTGTAGTAAACAAAAGAAAAACATATTCCTTATCTATCTGTATCTAAGTTGGAAGGTTTTGCCTCTTTCAGGGTCTTTCTAAAACATTACAACTGCTTGCAGATGTTCAAGACTAATACAGGGACCCCCAAATTTCCTGGTGTTTCAACTTATGAACAAGTCATCTGTAACCCTATACTTATTATCCTGAAGAAAATGAGAGAACAAAGAGTAATTATGGGTAACTGCAGACTGGCTTTCATAAAACAAATATTGTTTCCATGTCTTTTGGAACCGGTTTGTTAAGTGAGGATCACAGTAACTTGGGTGTTGTAAGTCAAGGACACCATGCATCATCCTTGCATATATTTCAAAGCATTGTAGATAGATCCATGATGCTGGAAGAGAGTGCAATGGACAAGTGTAGTAGTAGCAGCAGCAATGCACACAGCAAGAGGCATTCTTGAGCTTCCCCAGCACTCGGGCTTAATGCCTGGAGCTGGAGTGTGACTTCAAAAGGATCCTGTAGTGCTTGCTGCCTTTGCACCTCCTGACATCGTCTGCTGCTATGCAGTTGCCACAGCCTTCAAGCCCAGTATGGCAGCCCAAGGTGCCTAGCTTCTCCCTCCAAGCCCCATGGGGGCAGGGAATGGGGCTAGGCCTCGGAACAGCTGGTCCCAGAAGACGAGGAGGTAATTGCACCTCTTCCCATGGCAGAGACTGGTCTGAGACACTCCCTCGACAGGGAGCCAAGGCCGGGCCACCTCTTGGAAAAGGCCTGGGCCGGGCAATTATAACGGCAAATCTACAACAGAACAACATGATACTGGACAAAATGTACAGATATTTGCAGCATCAAACGTTTTAAAGAAATTTTTCATTAAGAATTTACTGGAATTAGTTTCAGAAGAAGTACTGTACTATAGCTGAAGAAAAATAGCAAACCTCTATTTTTGAAGCATTTTTCACATTCAAAAGGAAGTGAAGAATGTGTACATCTAATGCTGTATCATATCATACTCCCTCACTATCTATGATGAATGCATTCCATAAGAAAATTCATGGGTAGAGAACCCATGTCTGAACTGGAAAAATGAGATGTGGTTTTCTTGTGATATACAAATTGGTCATTTAACAGACATAAGACATTCAAAAAAACCTATGTATGTACCAGGAGCCATTCTCAAAGATGAACACATAGTAACTGATGAAACCTAATGGTTCCTCAGCCCTGGCTCGCTGATAATGCCATAATACCATGTGGGATTTGTAAATCTGAGAACCTAACCATGAATATCAAACAGTAGGATGTTTAAACACAGTTTATTGACAGTTAAGATTCCAGGTATTCACAGACCATGAGGGAGTACAGTACAGTAGGGCCCCGCTTTTTGGCGTTTCGCCTTACGGCGTTCCGCTAATACGGCAATCTCAAATCATGACCAAAACTTTCTATACGGCAAGCGGTCTTTCAAATATAGCATGCACCACCCGGTTTGTTTACATTCTCCATGAGCACATCTCTCTATTATGTAATAATAATCACTCCTGGGCACATTAAATGTCTAATTTTACGTCAATACAGACATTCTCATTAATCCATCTATGATATTTTCTTCAACGTAATATAAGACACACGTTACATAGCATATAAACATGCTGTTTATACGCTATGGAGGGGTAGTTGCTGGGCAGAGGGAAAACATTACGTAATATTAATAATAATCACTCCTGGGCACATTAAATGTTTTATCTTACATTAATATGGACATTTTCATTAATCCATCTATGACATTTTCTTCAAAATTATGTAAGAAACATGTTACATAGCATATAAACATTTTATGTTTATATACTATGGATGCGTAGTAGCTGGGCGGGGCAAAAGCATTACGTCACTCCCCTTAGTACATAATGCTTTTGTTTACAATTCTTGGCATGAATTATTCATTACTTCTCCCTTTGTTTATGATGGAATCTAAAGGTTTTTTTTTTTTTTTTTTTTTTTCAACAAGTCGGCCGTCTCCCACCGAGGCAGGGTGACCCAAAAAAGAAAGAAAATCCCCAAAAAGAAAATACTTTCATCATCATTCAACACTTTCACCACACTCGCACATTATCACTGTTTTTGCAGAGGTGCTCAGAATACAACAGTCTAGAAGCATAAACATATAAAGATACACAACATATCCCTCCAAACTGCCAATATCCCAAACCCCTCCTTTAAAGTGCAGGCATTGTACTTCCCATTTCCAGGACTCAAGTCCGACTATATGAAAATAACCGGTTTTCCCTGAATCCCTTCACTAAATATTACCCTGCTCACACTCCAACAGATCGTCAGGTCCCAAGTACCATTCGTCTCCATTCACTCCTATCTAACACGCTCACGCACGCTTGCTGGAAGTCCAAGCCCCTTACCCACAAAACCTCCTTTACCCCCTCTCTCCAACCCTTTCGAGGACGACCCCTACCCCGCCTTCCTTCCCCTATAGATTTATATGCTTTCCATGTCATTCTACTGTGATCCATTCTCTCTAAATGACCCAAACCACCTCAACAACCCCTCTCTGCCCTCTGACTAATACTTTTATTAACTCCACACCTTCTCCTAATTTCCACACTCCGAATTTTCTGCATAATATTTACACCACACATTGCCCTTAAACAGGACATCTCCGCTGCCTCCAACCGTCTCCTCGCTGCTGCATTTACCACCCAAGCTTCACACCCATATAAGAGTGTTGGTACTACTATACTTTCATACATTCCCTTCTTTGCCTCCATAGATAACGTTTTTTGACTCCACATATACCTCAACGCACCACTCACCTTTTTTTCCCTCATCAATTCTATGATTAACCTCATCCTTCATAAATCCATCCGCCGACACGTCAACTCCCAAGTATCTGAAAACATTCACTTCTTCCATACTCCTCCTCCCCAATTTGATATCCAATTTTTCTTTATCTAAATCATTTGACACCCTCATCACCTTACTCTTTTCTATGTTCACTTTCAACTTTCTACCTTTACACACATTCCCAAACTCATCCACTAACCTTTGCAATTTTTCTTTAGAATCTCCCATAAGCACAGTATCATCAGCAAAAAGTAACTGTGTCAATTCCCATTTTGAATTTGATTCCCCATAATTTAATCCCCCCCCTCTCCCAAACACCCTAGCATTTACTTCCTTTACAACCCCATCTATAAATATATTAAACAACCATGGTGACATTACACATCCCTGTCTAAGACCTACTTTTACCGGGAAGTAGTCTCCCTCTCTTCTACACACCCTAACCTGAGCCTCACTATCCTCATAAAAACTCTTTACAGCATTTAATAACTTACCACCTATTCCATATACTTGCAACATCTGCCACAATTGCTCCTCTATTCCACTCTATCATAGCCTTTTCTAAATCCATAAATGCAATAAAAACTTCCCTATCTTTATCTAATACTGTTCACATATATGCTTCAATGTAAACACCTGATCTACACATCCCCTACCCACTCTAAAACCTCCTTGCTCATCCGCAATCCTACATTCTGTCTTACCTCTAATTCTTTCAATTATAACCCTACCGTACACTTTTCCTGGTATACTCAGTAAGCTTATTCCTCTATAATTTTTACAGTCTCTTTTGTCCCCTTTCCCTTTATATAAAGGGACTATACATGCTCTCTGCCAATCCCTAGGTACCTTCCCCTCTTTCATACATTTATTAAACAAAAGTACCAACCACTCCAACACTATATCCCCCCCTGCTTTTAACATTTCTGTCATGATCCCATCAGTTCCAGTTATAAAAGATTAAACTCAGTGAACATGGTATGTCGATGGTAATAATATGGCTTGGGGCCGCATTAAATATCGTGTAGCTATGTAGGTAGGTGTAGGTATGTAGCCCAAGCGGACTACATACCTACATTATTATTATTATTATTATTATAATTATAATCCTGGGGGAGCACTAAACCCGTAGGTTTATACTGCACACGTAGGGGGGTGGAAGGTATTCACTCAATTCAGGGAACCAGAGAACAGATTCAATTCCCTAGATCAAGAGTCCCTCACCAGCATCAAGGAACCTCCCTTGAAGGAATTATAACTGATAATTATACTTCACTCAGAGCGTCATTTCTTCTAAAAATGGTGTTACATGAGAATGGGATCATTTCTCTTTATTTATTCAACTGTATCAACGTGGAGACAACTTGTACACAATGTAAAATAACGAAAACCAGATGCGTTCGTCTGGTTTGTTTACATTACGTGTGAGTGGGGTGGGGAGGGCCTCCCTGGCTGGATTCCATACTTCCCAAACCTTACTTCCTACAAATAAAACTCACCTCTCACCCTACATTAAGACTACAAATATTTTAAGGTAAGTAATGAATGCACAGTATATGTACTTTATTGCTCTGGGGATCTTTAATTAAATGTAGTAAATTATGGGGTGGGGTGGGCTGACCTGGCTTGCTACCATACCTCCCAAACCTGACTTCCTGTAAATTAAACTCACCTTTCACCCTACATTAAGACTACAAATATTTTAAGGTAAGTAATGGGTGTATTGTGTGTGTATTTTACTTTTCATTGTTTTTAATGTCTAGTTCTATTGCTTACGTAATATATGTTAGTGCCAACATGTTACCTAGTATTTATTAGTGGAAAAAAATGGTGTTCTCCTTTCCAGCAATGTCTGCTTTCCGGCAGTAGCCTGAAACCTAACCTTCTGTATAAGTGGGGCCCTACTATACCTCACTTAACATTATATGTCCTGCTAAATTCTACTAACCTCTTGCCTGACAAGGCCATGTATAACTACAGTAGGGCCCCACTTACATGGCAGGTTAGGTTCCAGGCTACCGCCGTAAAGCGAAAATCGCCATAAAGTGGAATACCCTTTTTTCCACTTCTTTCTTTCTTTCTTTCAACGCACTGGCCGTGTCCCACCAAAGCAGGGTTGCCCAAAAGGAAAACTGAAGTTTCTCTTTTTAACTTTAGTAGTGTATACAGGAGAATGGGTTACTAGCCCCTTGCTCCTGGCATTTTAGTCGCCTCTTACGACACGCATGATTACAGAGGAAGAATTCTGTTTCACTTCGCAATGGAGTTTTTCCACTTATAAATGTATGCAAATACTAGGTAACAGGTTTACACTAACATATATTAAGTTAGCAAACAGAACTAGACATTAAAAAACACAATAAATAGTAAAATACACACACAGTACACATGTTACTTACCTTAAAATATTAATATGAATGTGTGAAAGGTGAGTGGCAGAGTAAAAGTTTTTTCATGTCAGCATTAAGTCACTTTGTCTGACTTATTTAGGTTATCCTAGGTTCTCTACACATATGCTGCTATATGTAACTGTATTTGATAGCTATCTCAGCCATTGACATACTTTGTTAATAAGTAAGTTTATTCAGGTATACACAAATACAGTTATATAGATTATCATACATGTGTAGAGAACCTAGGATAACCCAAAAAAGTCAGTTCACTAAGTTTAATCATTTCTAACTTGGCACTTAAAGTAAGTGGCTTACAACTCTTCTTTTTATCACAACTAAGCTTATATGCCATCATCAACAAGAGCCAACTATTATTAATAATATTATTATTATTATTATTATTATTATTAACCCCCTCTCCTGTATATATTACTAAATTTAAAAGGGGAAACTTTCGTTTTTCCTTTTGAGCCACCCCACCTCAGTGGGATATGGCTGGTACGTTGAAAGAAAGAAGAAAAGATTATTTTTTTTTTTTAACAAGTCGGCTGTCTCCCACCGAGGCAGGGTGACCCAAAAAGAAAGAGTATTATTATTATTATTATTAATTTGGACATGATACATAGAAGTACAAAGAAATACAGTGGTTAAGTGTAACATGCCAAAAGCCCCTTGTATTCAGAGCATTATGGGCAGGCTTGAATTAACTTAAGATTAACTAAGCAATGATATATTCAGTGGTAAAAATTATAGTAAACAAATAACAATTAAGCACAAATGAGTATTTCAAAGACAGGTCATATGGTCATTTACTGAGTTCTGTGCATTCAGTAGAATGGAGTACTCTGTTAGGTAATGTAATTAAAAAAAACAAAGTTTGATAGGGTCACAGGTTAAACATTTATGAGATACAATTACAGTGGACGCCCGCTTTACGATCAGCTCCAAATGCGACCAATTATGTAAGTGTATTTATGTAAGTGCGTTTGTACGTGTATGCTTGGGGGTCTGAAATGGACTAATCTAATTCACAATATTCCTTATGGGAACAAATTCGTTCAGTACTGGCACCTGAACATACTTCTGGAATGAAATAATATCGTAAACTGGGGGTCCACTGTATTCAGTATTTATTTAGTTGTGGGTAAGTGATTTTTAAGAAGAGACTTGAATTTATAAACAGACAGTGGCATCTTCAAGAGATGAGAGACTCTTAGTGATTTTAATGTGTACCTGCATGCCAGCACAGTGTGTAAATACATTTAGGTACAAGTACACTTAAGTATAATTATCAGAGTACATATAAAATATACAATAACCTTAAAACACTTGAAATTTTGGAAAATTTCCTGACATAATAGAAAGATGTGCTCACAGAGAATGTAAACAAACTGGGTGGGGCACGGTGACTGTACATATTAGAAAGACAGGTGGGTAGAGCCGTATAGCGAGCTTTGGTCATATTTTGAAATGTCCATATTAGCGGAATGCCGTAAAGCGGGGCCCTACTGTATTTTGCATTACACTGTAGGACAGATATTCCAACTCAAATGTCGACTCTATGGAATGCTTAGTACTCACATCCTCATTTGTAGTTTGATTTGATGTTGTGAGGTAGGTGTGAAATCCTGCTAGCCCTAGGATTGACCACACAGAAAAGAAACATATGACACCCTCTATGACTGATGCAGGATTCTTCTGCACTGCATCCAAGAAAGTTGAACTCTCTTTCATGACTGCAGAAAAAAAACAAAAGGCTAATAATTTAACTGCTTCATTAAAGGCAGACTAATATATAACTTGAAATTCTAAAATAAAAATGGTGCAATAATTTAAAAATAATTTTAATACAAAATGTCCCCTGAACATTAAAGAAGCATAGTACTGGCATAATTATTATGGAATTTTCTGAAAATTTGATATTTTACTACTAAAAGGTCAATGAAACCAAGTTTACTGATGATTATGGATTTATTTTGATACACCAATACAATTCAACTATTTTACATTGATAAATATTCGGTCTGACCACTCCTAGCATCCATAAGTGCTTTTACACATGTGGGCATGCCAGCGATGATAGTTTTGCAAAGTCTCTTGATTCCGGCAGAATGAAACCAAACCTTAAATAATGTGTTTTATGAGTTGCGCTTTGGTCGTAATGGGAATTTTGTGTATTTCATCCTTCAACACAGACCATAAACTATCAATAGGGTTCATGTCGGGGAAATTTCCAGCCCATGGGAGTAGCTCAACACCATTTCGTGCACACCACCTCTTTTGCTGATTTTGTGGAGTAACATAGGGCCAAATTTGTTGGAATAGCCATTCATCATCATACCAGTCCTTTATCTGAGGCAGTAATTGTTGTTGTAGTAATTTTATATACTTAACCTGGTTCACAGTACTGTCAACAGCGTGCAAACAACTTGTTCCATGAATGGAAATGACTCCCCACATCATGATTTCCCATGAAAATTTGACCATCATCTTCAGATGTTCAGGCATAAATTCCCCACTTGACAGCATTCTTACAGTCATCCAGCACTGTAATGGTTGATTCAACAGAGAAGCTGAATAATAATCTTAACACTGCCTTCAACAACAGAAAAAAACAATAGAAGTTGAATGGTAATCTTAATTTCTTCAAATAGAAGGGGTGTTAATGTTGCAGTTTAAAAACTGTAGTGTAAAGCACCCTTCTGGCAAGACAGTGATGGAGTGAATGATGGTGAAAGTTTTTCTTTTTCGGGCCACCCTGCCTTGGTGGGAATCGGCCAGTGTGATAATAATAAAAAAATAGAACTTACATACTATTAATTTATATTCTTTTATGAACAATAAATGAACTGGATAGCTAAATGTAATTATTACCTGCTCCCACTGTTCAGAAGTCCACTCAATGTGATTCTTAGCCCAGGCTAAATGTTTCTGTATCATGGGTTTAATAAGTCACAGCTTTCTCTAAAAGCCTCTCATTAACTGTCCTTCATGCAAGGCTAACACCTGCTGCTGCTAGGTCTGAGGATATCTGTCTGCAAGATGATGATCTGTTGTTAAGAGCCATTCATATTATTTTTCTGTCTAATCTCGGTGTTATTTTCCATCTTCTACCACATCTTCCCACCCTTTTTGAGTTTAAATCTTGATTGTAATTCAATTTCTTCTTAATTTTACTGAGTTGAAACATCAAGTTTACTGCTGTTTTTTTCTGTTTTAATGTGCTAACACTCAATAAAATGCTTATCTGTCCCACTTAGTAGTAAGCACAAGCACATAAAATGCTAATGAATTATCAGTCAATACGCAGAAAACAACCTTTATGTGCCAAACTAGGACAGCAAGGAACTGTGTAAAACTTTGATGACTGGCATGATGCCCACATGTTTAAAAGCACTTATGGATGCTAAAGGTGGTCAAACCAAATATTAATCAATGTAAAATAGTTGACCTGTGCTGTTGTATCAAAATAAATCTATTAGCAGTCAGTGAAATTGGTTTAATTGACCTTTTAGTAGAAAAATACTGAATTTATAAAAAAATCCATAATAATGATGCCAGTACTGCATATACTCTATTATAAAAGTACATGTAACTTCTTACCATAATAAAGAATTACATTATAGACAAAAATTATTCAATGTTTTGAGTTAGTTTCAGAAAAGACTCTTGTCAGAGGCACACCATTTAACAAGGTCAAGGTCCCGTTGAATCCATAATTAAAAAAAAAAATTGTCCCAAAAACATAACAAAATATGCTGTATATAGATATTAAACATGTATATTACACTTTCATTAAACTACATAATACTGTAATACTTTTAAATTACATGTCATAATGCTGCATACATTGGATTTCTGAGATCTTAATGAATTTTCCTGCAGTGAATGGTGGCAGCAATTTACTAGCCTAAGTCAACTTCCACATAAAGTCTCAGAAAATCACCCTGTGCTTTATATGCTGAAGGTCAAGAACAAGGGTAGGCTTTGGGCTTTAGCAAGTGATGGTTTCAATGCTGCCTTACCAGTAAACTAAACTCTAAACACCACCCCTTTTACCTACAAAACTTTCCAAAATTATAAGCTGCAAATAACTGCAATGTACCTGTCTGTAAACAAGTAGCTACTCTGTGCTTATACACATACTTTAAGATGGCTGTGAGCCACTGGCTCAAATTCATTTTAAAGCAATCATTGCACTTCTATTTTTTTCTCCAGAATATGACTGCCAAAATTGGGATGTGCTCTAAACCAACTGGTAGATAGGGTACCTTTTGATGATTCAGGCAATGAATTCCAGATCTTAGGACATTTTATGCAAGTTAAGCTTTTGCACAGGGCGAGTCATTCACAGAGGACGTCAAAGAGAGTTTTTTGTCTTGTGTTATGCCTGTGTGTTCTGTTGCAGCTATCAAGGAAAAGTTTCAGAGGGTTTACGTTGGAGTTTAATGAGTGAATATAAATAAATAAATGTGTGAGCATGTTAGATAGGAGTGAATGGAAATGAATGGTTTCTGGGACCTGACAAGTTGTTGGAGTGCGAACAGGGTGATATTTTGTGAAAGGATTCAGGGAAACCGGTTAGCCGGACATGAGTCCTGGAAATGGGAAGTACAATGCTTGCACTTTAAAGGAGGGGTTTAGGATATCAGCAGTTTGAAGCAATGTCTAAACTGTTGTATCTGGGCACCTCTGCAAAGACAGTGATTATGTATGAGTGATGGTGAAAATGTTGACCGATAATGAAAGTCTTTCTTTCTTTTGGGTCACCCTGCCTTGGTATACAGCAACCACCCAGGGAGGTACTACCATCCTGCCAAGTGAGTGTAAAACGAAAGCCTGTAATTGTTTTACATGATGGTAAGATTGCTGGTGTCTTTTTTTGTCTCATAAACATGCAAGATTTCAGGTAGGTCTTGCTACTTCTACTTACACTTAGATCACAATACACATGCATGTACAAGCATATATATACACACCTGTCTGGGTTTTCTTCTATTTTCTTACTTATTCTTGTTCTTGTTTATTTCTTATCTCCATGGGGAAGTGGAACAGAATTCTTCCTCTGTAAGCCATGTGTGTCATAAGAGGTAACTAATATGCCAGGAGCAAGGGGCTAGTAACCCCTTCTCCTGTATACATTCCTAAATTTAAAAAGAGAAACTTTCGTTTTCCTCTTGGGCCACCTTGCCTTGGTGGGATATGACTGGTTTGCAGGAAAAAAAAAAATGTTTTATTTTTAAACAACCTGGCCATATCCCACTGAGGCAGGTGACCTAAAAAGAAAAACGAAAGGTTCTCCTTTTAAATTTAGTAATATATACAGGAGAAGAGGTTACTGGCCCCTTGCTCCCAGCATTTTAGTCGCCTTTTATGACACACATGACTTACTGAGGAAGAATTCTGTTCCACTTCCCCATGGAGAGGTTAGTGGTGTTATCTGTGATTAGCCCTGCTTTGAGTAGAGATACTGCATTGCTCCATAAATAGTCAAGTAAGGAGACACTTGCATCAGAAATTCTTGTAGGCTTGGTTATAGATGGTAATAGCAAGGGACTACATAATTAATGATCTGATCAAATATATGAACACCTCTGAAAACGGTATTATTAGAAAATAAAGCATACTTAATACTCACATAAGACGAGGTGCGCAATAACGCATGAAAAGATAAATACACAGAGAAAGGCAAGAGATATGATGAAAAGATAAAAATATCTGTAATTTCTCCTGCCAACACAATTTCCAACCCATGGACAATGATGATCAAATCGTTCTGAAAGAAAAGAATTCCATAATGTGCTTTAACTCTATATTCAACTAATTATCAGATTATCATCATCACTGTAGTAATCTAAAAAAGAAAACTCAATGTCTCACTGAATTACAAAAGCAAATATCAGTCAATCTAATGAAATATGTATCAAAAAGTAAATACAGAATCTAATTCATGAGAAAAGGACACACTTACAGCATATCATCTTTCCAAAAATGTTCAAAAAAAAATTAATTACACTCATTAAATATTATAATTCATATCTAAATCAACTTTCACAACCTAAGACTCCTGATGAACATTTTTTCGTATCAGTCACAATGTTCACAGCAAAATGAAATGTGAATAATTTCTCAGGAATTCTGTTAAATTAAGCTAAAGATATGATATTTTTGCAAGTGATACAGCCTTCTGACTTTAATATCAGGAAGTGAAACATTAACTATTTTCTCATGCCATAAACAAAAAAGAAAGCTGCAGTGTCCAGTATGAACAGGTGGAAAAAAATAAAGAGAAAGTAAGTCATTAATAAAATATGCAGTGTAGGGGATTGTGGTGAAGTATGATAATACATAAAGAATTATTAAATAAAGCACTGTAATAAAAACCAAATATTTCCATTCATCTGACAATTTCACTCTCCTTCTGAACTTTGCATGAAGAGTTCCACCACTTACCAACACAATTGTCGCAGATTGAACAATGAGATGCTCTGGGTGGTCGGAATATTTTGCATGTAAAACAGTATTTTAGTTTCACTGTTACACCATTTACAACAATTTCTTTAGTGCGAGGTGGAGGGCGGAGTCTGGGACCATTACCAGAGTTGGGCACCTCTGTGGGAAGTAAATGTTCAAAAGACAATTGAAAATATATAAATTTATGTTATCTAGTGTTAACAGCTCTAGATTTTGGGAAAAGGCCCAGTCCCAGTACTCAGCAGGGCTACTGTTTTTATTCATAACAATTCATTTAAGCAATCAGTGTTACCCATAAAAAACCTCAATAAAACACATGTTCTCACTTGTACCCCACTGCTGTTTGCTTGATCTGAATGTCAACTAATCCCTTTAAAACTTTTTATTTAAACTACTATCAACAGGTTAATTCCCCCAGTTATTCACAGCCATAAAAAAATGATACAATGATTAAAATCCTCAAATATTACTTATTAATTATAGTATGGAATTTATATAAAACCCTCAAATAATTTGATGAATCTTTTACTCCGTCAATTTGCTAAAGCCATAAACAGTTCATGGTTATGGGCCTGGTCAACATTTGTACTCACATACAGGAGAAAGTATTTACATTAGAATGCAGTACGTTACCCTAACAGGAACATCTTCGTATTAATACATACAACAATGAGTTATCAAAGAAAAGCATTCTAGATTCCAAAATTTACCCTCTGAGTACATTTTTGACTAAAACTCAAACAAAACAAAAATTATCCTTAAGGGACTAGTTCGACTTTAGCTCACAGATTTAAAAATGCTCCTCTTAACTGAGAAATTCAACTTTTTTCCAAAGCTTTAAAAAATGGGAAATGATATTCAGTGCTTAGGTAAAAAAGCATGATGAAAAAAGCATTAAAAAAGATTTGTTGCCTGATAGTAACAGTGGCCCACAGAAATAGGACAAATCACCCCTCAGGGAAAGGGGGGAGGTAATTACCCGTCAGTAAACCCCTTCACTGTTGGAAACCCCGAAATTAAAAGGGTTATCAATGTCAGGAATTTAACCCTTTCAGGGTCCAAGGCCCAAATCTGGAGTCACGCACCAGTGTCCAAGAATTTTAAAAAAAAAAAATTGTTATTTTTTCTTATGAAATCGTAGAGAATCTTTTTGTGAAGGTAATAAAACAAAAAGTACGAAATTTGGTGGAAAATTGACGAAATTATGCTCTCACGAATTTTGATGTGTCAGCGATATTTACGAATCGGCGATTTTGCCGACTTTGACTCCCATTTTAGGCCAATTACATTATTCCAATCAACCAAATTCTTAGCTATTTCACTAGTATTACTTCTATTCTATCGATTGAGCACAAGAAATCGCCAAGTCAACTGTTTCAACTACAAAATAAAGTGATCAGAAATTGTTAATTTGGCCAATTTAACACAAAGTTCAAAATATTCCAATTTCAAAATAGGGTCCAGAATGAACAATGTAGGCATTCCTGGCACTAAACTAACATTTCCTCTGTTCATTAGTTATGTTTTGAGGCTTTACAAATAAATTCCATTTTTATTTTTTATTCACATAATGAATTTTTATTCACACCAAAAAATAGAAGATTTACTGTTATGCAATACTGTAATAATTGTATAAATATCATCACCATATTTGTGAATGTATATTAGACCCACCAGCTGATGTGTATTAGACGTGTGAGGTCGTTTGTTTACTCTTGAATATCGGCAAAAATTTAACATTTCCGCTACTTTGAGCTCAGTTTCAAGCCATTTCCAATGTAAAACCAATCAAAATCATCTCTATTTCTGTAATATGTCTTCCATTCTATCAAATGAGACCAAGAAATCGCAAATACAACTATAAAAAACATACGAAAAAACACTGCAAAGTTGCTGTTTTAATCGAAAAATCATGATTTCATTTTTTTCCTCTCATTATACACAGTGTGCTGCAGGATCTGTTTTATGTGGTGCACACATACCACATAGATGTATTCTCTCATATCTAGGCCCAAATGTACCACTCACAGTTTATCAGAGTGAGCTGAGCTCATGGCGTAGATCTACGGTTTGGACCCTGAACGTAAAGCCGTAGATCTACGGGACGGACCCTGAAAGGGTTAAACAAAAAAAATTCTTATGAAATGAAAAATAATCTTTTTCAGTAGGCAGTGACACAAAAAATACAAAATTTGATGAAAAACTTACAATTACACAAGTGCAAAGTTAGCGGTCTGGGTGCAATTTACACAACAATGATTTCACCCTCTGAGTCCTATTTTAAGCCAATTCCATTGTTCAATTCAACCAAATTCTCAGCTAATGTGCTAGTATGCCTTTCATTTTATCAACTGCACACAAAAAACTGCCCATTCAATTATAAGAACTGCACAACATTCCCCCAGTGAGAAGCAGGGGCATCACAAGTACACTAAGAAACAACACAATAAATGCCAGGAGCCCAAAACTGTTCAACTGCTTCCCAGCATTCATAGGAGGGATTACCAATAGACCCCTGCCTGTCTTCAAGAAGGTGCTGGAGAAGCACTTAAAGTCAGTACCTAATCCGCTGGGCTGTGTTTCTGACGTCAGTTTATGTGCAGATAGCAGTAACAGCCTGATTGATCAGACCCTGATCCACCATGAAGCCTGGTCTCAGACTGGGCCATGGTGGCATTAACTCCCAAAACCCTCTCCAGGTATACACCGTCCTCATCCCAACATGACACTCTTTGGGTCACCGTGCGTCATTCACACCTCACTCTCCGCCTATACAATATATATACCGTAATGTCTTTCTACCTCTGTATGTTAGAAGTGATCAAGGTTCCAGGACCGAAACGTTTTCTAATAAATATGTCATAGTGTTTGCTTATGTGTCTTTCTAAACCAACTTGTCGGTATTTATTACCAAGGTTTATACCACACCATAAAGTGCACAGAAGTCTGTAATTTGGCCAATTTTACACAAAATTAAAAAAATCCCATTTAAAAAGTCCAAAATAAATGCTCTTAGACATTCCAGGCACTTAAACAGCATTTCGTGTCGCCAGGCCTCTCCTGCATTACACCTGCCTTCTATTTTGAATAACAACCCAAAAAACAGACCTTACCCATCCTCATGAAAGCAACAAAATTCCATTATTTACTCTACTTTTGAGCCCAATTTTAAGCTACTTTTGGTCCTGAAACCAACCAAAATCATACCTTTACCTTTGAAGAGTTCTGAGAGTTTATCTACTCTCTGAGCCTGGCCATGGGCCAGGCTCATCTAGTGCTTGCCTGGTCAACCAGGCTGTTGCTGCTGGAGGCCTGCTGCCCCACATATCCATCACAGCCTGGTTGATCTGGCACCTGGTGAAGACACTTGTCCAGTTTCCTCTTGAAGGTTTCAACACTGGTTCTAGCCGTGTTTCTGATATCTTCTGGTAAGATGTTGAATAGTCTGGGACCCCGGATGTTGATACAGTGTTCCCTTATTGTCCCCACCACACCCCTGCTCTTCACTGGGTTTATTTTACACTTCCTCCCATATCTCTCATTCCAGTATGTTATGGCAGTGTGCAGATTTGGGACCAAGCCCTCTATTTCTGTATTATATCTTCCAAAATATCAAATGATACCAAGAAATAACCAATAAAACCACAAAAACTATCCTAGAAAACACTCAAAGTTTCTATTTTAAATCAAACACAGGGTCAGAGTTTTGTTTTTTCTCATCATGCACCATGTAGAGCAGGTCTGTGTGCACACTCAGCACACAGACCAATTCTCTTATGTCTAGGAAAAAGTTTACTGCTCACAGCTTATCTGTGGGAGCTGAGCTCAAAACATAGGTCTATGTGTAAGACACTGAAAAGGTTAAAAATAGTCATACTTTATCACCTTTGCCTAGCAAAGAGTTCAGAAATAGCATATGGACATTCTCTTCATATTTCACTTGTAAGCTAATATTTTGCTTAAGTTAATTAAGGTGATCTAAGAACTGATGGACATTTATAATAAGAAACTAGCATAACTTTCTAATTTTGATACAAAATGACCAAAATGTGAAGATGTTGCAAACCCAGAGAAGAGATTACTAAACCAGTCAACACAGCCTCTCATGCCGTAATGACTATCTTTTTACGTGTACATATGCAAGGAATTCGCAAGAGCAGGCGAAATATACACAAACACTGATCTCTGGCTGAAGGAGACTCGAATCTACAAACCTTGGAACAAGGTACGCAGTGCTATACCAATCTCACCACATTGGAAAATACCTTGGCGTGCAGCTTGCGCTACACGTTGATCCAAGGCAGCCAGCTTTCAGGGAGAAGACTTACAGCCTTTCACCTTATCCCCAGCATGCATCAGCATCGCAGGTTCAAGTCTCTTTCAGCCAGAGATCAGTGTTTACATACATATACATATACCTAGGGATTGGCGGAGAGCATGTACAGTGGACCCCCGGTTAACGATATTTTTTCACTCCAGAAGTATGTTCAGGTGCCAGTACTGACCGAATTTGTTCCCATAAGAAATATTGTGAAGTAGATTAGTCCATTTCAGACCCCCAAACATACACGTACAAACACACTTACATAAATACACTTACATAATTGGTCGCATTCAGAGGTAATCGTTATGTGGGGGTCCACTGTATAGTCCCTTTATATAAAGGAAAGGGGGACAAAAGAGATTGTAAAAATTATAGAGGAATAAGTTTACTGAGTATACCAGGAAAAGTGTACAGTAGGGTTATAACTGAAAGAATTAGAGGTAAGACAGAATGTAGGATTGCAGATGAGCAAGGAGGTTTCAGAGTGGGTAGGGGATGTGTAGATCAAGTGTTTACATTGAAGCTTAAATGTGAACAGTATTTAGATAAAGGTAAGGAAGTTTTTATTGCATTTATGGATTTAGAAAAGGCATATGATAGAGTGGATAGGGGAGCAATGTGGCAGATGTTGCAAATACACTGGTCCCACGCTTTTCGTAGTTCCCGGCAATCGTAAAATTCGCCAATCATAGGGGTATTTTTGTATAAACATGGACTCGCTTTTCATAGGTTGACTCGCGAGTCGTAGTTCGTCTGGGCCAGGGCGGCAGCCAGTCTGGCATTGTTTACCAGTGAGCGAAGGTCCCCTTGCGTG